AGGGACAAAGGGATCATGGTATCTTTGGGTTGTTCCAGCACAGTAGGTAACAACTAAGGAGTGACCGGGCGGGGTTGTCATAACATTCTCCAAGACCACTGACTCTACACTCCTTGACGCCAAGACCCCTGAGTGCAGGGAACGAGTGACTGATGGAGGACCCCTGGGCCCTGTCCTTGTTCAGCCCAGTTCCTGGATGCCTAAGAGGACACATGCACCAGACCACAATCTCCAATAAAAACCCCAGATCTCAAGCAAAGAAGAGCCTCATGCTCCATTCCTTTCTGAGTCTCCTGGACGCTCCATCCATCTCTCTCTCTATATATACATCTTCAGTCACCTCTGCTGGCTCGCATTTGATTTCCATCCTTCGCGAACCCAAGGACCCTCTTGGACCCAGCCCGGGCCTGCCTGCATGAGGAACAGGGAGGGAGGGATGGATAAGGGAGACAGAGGGAGTAACAGGAGCCCCTCCCTTCTCGAGCCTGTCCTCTGGATCCTGTATGCCCTGCTCTGGACTCTTCCTCAAGTCTGACACTCTCTGAATTTTAGCTGTCCTTTAGCTGGGTACGTTGATTCTTCAGCCCACTGGGAAATGCTTGGTATACAGCAAATTCTTTACAATGTCCATTCCTCTGCCTCTTCCATGAAGACCGTGCTTCAGGAAGTAAGAACTTACTGCTGATGTTTTTAGAGAGTTGGAAATTACTTTAAAGCACCCTACTATGTTTGATATTTTTTTGCAAAGTCAGGGTTTAATCTAAATACAAATTCTCTTGTACATGGTGCTAGGTATAATGCAAGTAGAAGACTTCATTTGGGAATTTATTTTTGAGCAACAGAAACCAACTCTGGTTTACTTGAAAAGAAAGAGGCTACAGGAGAAAGGATATTGGGTAGTTGACAGAATCGCCAGAAGGACTGGACAGTTCGGCTTGGGAACCGTGTGGCCAGAAACAACTGCCAAAATCATTGCCCAGAACCGCTCAAGTCCCTACAGGGACCACAGATTACCAACTGCTGGCTCGAGGTGTTTCTAGAGAGCGTGTGGCTGCCACCACCCAGCACCGAAATGGATACTGCCCTGCCCCTGCTTCCTCACATTGGTTGCTTCCAGTGGAAAGCTTGGGCTGGGACCCTGATGGACAGAGCCTGCGTCACTGCCTGAGCTGCAAGGGAGTCTGGGAAGGTGAGCCTCTGGCATTTTCTTCCTTCCAAAGGCAAGCTTTGTCTCAATAAGGTGGGCGGGATTCCTGAAATGAAGACGTTTAGATGTGGGGCGGCCAAAAAGCATAACAAAAAGAATCATTTCCGTTCAGATTAACTTCTCAGAAAGTTGGGGCAGCAGAAAATATGTTTAATAGTGGTAAGCAAAATCTAATGACTTGGGTACAGGTTCGATTTTTTTTCCTGCTTTGGAAAATCCCATCCTAGGGCGCCTGGGTGGCTCAGCTGGTTAAGCGTCTGCATTCGGCTCAGGTCATGATCCGGTTTCCTGGGATGGAGTCCCTCATGGGGTTCCCTGCTCAGCCGGGAATCTGCTCCTCCCTCTCCCTCTGCCCCTCCCCCCTGCTTGTGCTCTCACACACTCTCTCTCTCTCTCTCTCAAATAAATAAAATCTTAAAAAAAAAAAAAAGAAAATCCCATCCTAACAAATGCTCAGATGCTGTTGATGACCACCTTAGGACAATTCATAGTGACTTCTTGGAATTCTTTTTCTTCGGGGAGTGTGTTGAAGCCCAGAGGCCCCACTGAGGCTTGCTGGGGTGGGGGTGGGGGTGCTGGCATTCCCAGGCCCAAGAAGGGTGTGTGTAGGGTTTGCCTGGGGTTTATAAACCATAGTGGGGGTTTCTCCTTCTGAGATCTCACTGATGCACACAGGTGGGTTCTGTTTCTTTCTCTTGCTCAAACTCCCTTTCCAGTCACTGTATTTGACGTGTGCGTGAGTGGAGAAGAGTGATCGGTCCAACAGTGAGCATTTCCCAGTTTCTGGGAGGGGCCTCCAACCAGAAGGGACACAACCCCAGCCTTTCCCAACATGGGATGTTGGCAATAGTTGACACTGGGTCAGGTCACCCAATCCTTTCCACCGGAATGCTGCTGAAGGCCGAAAGCGAGAGAGCAAGTAACTGGGAAGGGGACTGGGTGTAGCTGGAGCGAAGACAAGACGTTCTTTGGACTCAGGTTTGATCTCCCACATCCGCACAGACCTGAAGGTGCCCACGCTCTATCCACGCACAACCCACTGCTCATAGAGCCTGATGGTTCCCCCTTTACCACTGAGAAGTTCCCAGCACTTTCCTGCATGGGGGAGGTGGACGCTCCCAAGGCCCCGGGGAGACTTCTTGTTTTGAGCAAATAGTCCAGGAAGGGGCTTTAGGTCAGAGAGGGGAGCACGTGCTTGATCCTGACCCCCTGAGGGCACTTGTTTGTACCAGCACACTGCACCCCTGCAGAGTTAGAAGAATTTTTTTTTTTTCCCTTCTCAATGTGGATTTAGCCTGAGCAGAAAAATATATTGCTCTCGGGAAATGTTCGGTGCCTTTTGGGGCAAACATGCTCTCAGGAGTGCCGGACGCTGCCGGAGGGCCTGGTCCCGCGTCGCCTCGCGCCGGAGCGAGCTGATGACAAGAGCCGCCCAGCCCAGGCACAGTGTGACCCGGGCTGATTGTTTCTTTTCTTTTCTTTTATGGTAAAATATGCCTAACAGAAAATGTATCACTGTAACCTTTGAAGCATGGCGTGAAATGCATTCACACTGCTGTGCAGCCGTCACCACCATCCATCTCCAAACCTTTGTCAACCTCTGCAACTGACGCTTGGTCCCCATGAAATCTTACCTCTTCATCCCCACGCCGCCCGCCGCCTCTGCTTGGGGCAACCCCGTTCCACTCCCCGTCTAATGAACCTGACTACTCTGGGTACCTCGTATGAGGGGAATTACATAGTATTTGTCCTCCTGGACTGATTTCTTGCTGGCGCCCGAGTCTGAGTAGGCTGGGCTCCGTGCAATGCATCATCAGTGACTCCACTGACCGGTGCCGACTGGTGGTGACCAGCCCCTGTGGGTGGGAGTGCATGTGTTCCTCTCAGTAAATGGGTGTTCACCTTCCTGAAAAGAGTTTAATCCCAGAGTCGGAAAGAGCGGGGACAGAAACTAGGAGAAGTAGGACTTTTCTTCTTGGCGCTTATGTGGTGCAGGGCCACCTGGGTAGTCAGTCTCACGGCTGGGCGGTGGGTGCCCATGTGGCGCTCTGTGCCCCCAGGAAGCCCCCTGACGGCCGTGTGGGTGACCGCGAGGGTGACTGAGCCAGGGTGGGGTGACCTTCTGGGTGAGCAGCACTGTCACCCTCTGGGTGGTGCCTCAGTTGTCCCCAGTCCCTAGTGACGCTCTGTTGAGAGGCAGCGCACCATCTTTGAGCTGCGGAGAACGAGAGGAGGCTGACAGTGGGTGGCATTGGTGGCCAAAGACAGCGGGGCTCAATGGGCAGGTATCTCACGAGACTGTGGAGATCAAAGGCTGCATCATGGCAGCCCCTCGGAGGACAAAGAGGGCAGCAAGAGCAAGGTGATCTGTCCTGGAATCGTGAGAGACGTTCTTGGGAGTGAGGCAGCACTCTTGGGAATTCTTGGAAATTCCAGCAAGCAGCCTGGTGCGAACTCATGACATCCACATCTTGGCGTTAGGGGTATTTAAAATTTTCTTTTTACACACAAGCTTGTGCGATCAGAGACACCCAGTGAAGCATGTTTGACGTACTGTGATGACGACACTTAACATTCACTGAAGCTGATGCCCAAGGAAGACAGGCCGTGTCAGGTTCTCCATCACCCCCTGCCCTTGTGCTGGAGGAAGCGCAGAGCCCTGGGCTAATTATAAAATGCCATTCAGATGCAATCTGGGACTCCAAATATGAGAAAGTTTGATTTTAAAGTGTGTTGTATGGGGGTGCCTGGGTGGCTCAGTCGGTTAAGCGTCTGCCTTAGGCTCAGGTCATGATCCCGGGGTCCTGGGATCGAGTCCCGCATGGGGCTCCCTGCTCCGCGGGGAGCCTGCTTCTCCCTCTGCCTCTGTCTCTCATGAATAAATAAATAAAATCTTTAAAAAAAATTTATAAAGTGTGTTGTATGGGGGCGCCTGGGTGGCTTAGTGGGTTAAGCTTTCGGCTCAGGTCATGATCCCAGGGTCCTGGGATCGAGCCCCCAGTCAGCTCCCTGCTCAGTGCAGAGTCTGCTTCTCCCCCTCCTTCTGCTCCCCTAGCTTGTGCTCTATCCATCTCTCTCTCAAGAAAAATAAATAAAGTCTTAAAAAAAAATAAAGTGTGTCATATGTTCCATTTTTTTTTTATGTGAGGTAAATTATACATTAGAATTGCTCTTTCTCTGTTCCCTTGGAAGTTCATTTCTTTTTTTTTTAATTTTTTTATTGTTATGTTAATCCCCATACATTACATCATTGGTTTTAGATGAAGTGTTCCATGATTCATTGTTTGTGCACAACACCCAGTGCTCCACGCAGAATGTGCCCTCCTCAATACCCATCACCAGGCTAACCCCTCCTTCCACCCCCCTCCCCATATGTTCCATTTTTATGTGGCTTAAGTCAGAACACACATTCTAGGGGCCCAATTCTGGAAGCCTGAGTGACCCCGAGCGTGAGTCAGGAGCCACTTGGAAGGAGATACAGGGATTTAAGCATGTAGGGAATACGCAAGCTTATAGTGGAAAATAAAACTGTGGAAACTGGGTTTTAGTATCTACAAAACCTGGTGCATTTCAAGATAAAGTGCCCACAGAGAATTCGTAGCTTCGAGATGCTTCTTGGTGATGGGATGCAGAGGGATTACTAATTGTATGCTGCCAAATCATAGAGGTAATAGTAATGACCGACTTTTCCCATTATTCCTTATTATCCCAACTATTATCCCAGCTATTAGCTCCCTTTTCTCCTTACCCTAGGCCTACGGGAGAGGTTGACATAAATTATTCTCCCTCTTTTCTGAGTGAAGAAATTAAAGCTCGGAGAGAAGACATGACCTGCCCGGGCTCTGAAATTAGTCTGCGACTCAAGCAAGATGAGAGCTCATGCCCCTGCTTTTCCTCCAAGGTTGTGCTTCTCATCAGCGGTAGGTACCAAACCTCTCTGGGTTTGTACAACTTTGCCAACCTCATAAACAACCTCACAATCTTCGTAAAGCCTGCTGGTCTGCAAATGGGCCTGTTTGCATCTCCCAGATCAACGCATCTTTTGTGTACTGTCTCAGAGCCGTGTCTCCCCAGAAAGCTTCTTTAACCCCATGAGCCCAGGCTGAGCCCACCCTTGGTAAACTTCCTCTACACCTGAAATGGGCACCTGGCCACGGAGCTCATAGTGATACATTTTCTGGAATCATTGGCTACTTGCTTTGCCAATTAGAGGGTGAGTTTGCTGAGGGCACCCAGCTACACCCCACACTCTGTTGGAGTTCTCTGGAAGCAAGTCAGGCCAGAATGAGTGATGCTATGTCCTGGGATTCCCCCCTGCCCAGAGATTCTGATTAGGGGGTTCGGACGAAGCCAAGAGCCTGCACTTTCAACGAACATCTTAAGTGATCATGATGCACCTGGGCTGGCCCCCACACCAAAGGGAGTGTTGGTTTAGACCTTCATTCATTCATTCAACACACATTTACTGAGCACCTACTATATGTTCAAGGAGCTGGAGGATCAAGAAGGGCTTTGCTCTCCTAGAGTTTACACCCTAGAGGGGGAGGCAGCCATAAACATCTAAACAAACAAATAGCAGAATACAGAAGTAGCAAGAAGTACCATGCAGAAACTGGAATGCAGCCTGGAACAGAGAGGGTTTGGAACAAGCAGCAGGTCCTTCTAGTGCAAATACGACCACTCTCGCCGCGCACTTGTATCCCATGGTGTCCGCGTCACTCGATGGAGTGGGACTTCCGCTCAGCTCTTGCAAATACAAACACCTGTTCCTGCCACGGCAACCTCCCTGCCTCTCGGTGATGTCATATCTAGTTTCTAAAGAAGAAAGATAAATAAAAAATAGCTTAGGTAAGTAAGCTGTATCGTATTTAGATTTTGTGTAAGGAAAGAAATGGATGTTTCCAGTGGGTGCATCTTAAATGTATGTAACCATGTAAGAAAAAAATATATGGTTAAAAAGATTGAGACTCTAGGATATTCTTCTCCAGTTATGTACCAGTTATTCCAAGGGACTTCCTTTCATTTGGATAAAAGGATGAGGGTACAGAGGATAGGGCTTCTTCTTGGCACCAGAAAATACATGTTAGTTAAACCGACCAAGCCGACACCTTGCTCTTGGACTTCCAAGCTCCAGATCAACTTCTGTTGTTAAGCCCCCCAGGGTGTGGTGTTTGCTATGGTAGTGCTGTGAACCAACGCAGGTGTCTACCGCAGAGCCCCAGTGTCTGTCAATCTGTCTGCTTTATCTTTTCACGTGTGTGAGATGTGCTAGGTCTTCACCTGGATTGAGCTACTTGGGGACAATGTCATGCTGTCAGCATTTCTCCGAGGATCTCTCCCAGGTCTTGTCTCTTGAGGGAGTCCCACCTTCAGTGATCCCTTGATGCCGAGAGTGCCCAGCTCCCCAGCTCGGACCACCCGGGCCTCTGGATCAGGTTCCCCCTCCAGGGGCCTATTGTCACCCAGTAAGCGAGCTTCCAAACCCACGCCTCGTTCCTGGGAGCGGTGTCATGTTCTCTCCTGCAGCTGTGAATAGGCAGAATCTTTGGGTGTTTTCTCCTTCTCCCCTTGCCCCTCCTCATCTCCCACTGAACACCTCACTGACACATTTGGGCAGCCTCTGTTTCCCGAAAGCAATTCTTGGTCCTTTAGAAGCTGAAGGCAAACTGCTGGGGGTTCAGTCGTGAAGCTAAGAAAGTACCTGGAATATTGAGTGCCTTTGCTCAGGCACCTCTGGCTGGGGGCTGCAAAGGCCCGAGCATCCCAACCTCCTATCACAAACGCAATCTGCAGCAAACCTAGCAGGTGGTATTCCTTAGGCACACAGTGCTCTCGCGTTGCTACGGGTTTCAGTGGCCAAAGCTCCCCCAGATACCTGGGGGTTGGAATCTTGCTTTTGTTCTAGAGTCTGCAAGCTCAGGGGCAGCTGAGGGTCTGGTATATCAGGAGGGGCCTTGTTGGTCAGCTCCACATTCTGTCCCCAAAGGTGGGACGCTGTCTTATCAGAAACAGATCACCTGCCCTAGAGCCCCTGCCTTTCTGGAAATTACAGAATGGTGTCCAAACTGTGAGCTGAAGATTTGTTTGCAGCACAGGGATTTCAACTGTGTGGGACTGAATGGTCCCCAGTCCACAGCCACGAGGTCTTACATCCTCCTGGCAATCATGTCCTGAATCTTCATCCCTGTCTTCCTTCCCATTGCCTCTCCCTTAGGTCACACATTTGCTTCCGTGTCACCCGACTGTCACAAGACCTTCTACCAGGGCACCTTCTCCCAGTCTCACCTCTAGCCTCTCCATGCCTCTGCCAGAAGAATCTTCCAGATTTACTTCCAAGTTTCTGATTATGTGCAGAGTAAAATCTCAACCTCCTGGTACAGCATCCAAGGCCCTCAAGTTTTGATCCTACCTGACCTTTCCAGTCCTGTTTTCTATGCTTCCTCTTCTCCTGCCATATCCTGCCAAACAGTCTGGGTTCAAATCCTGACATTGCCACTGAGTTGCAGTATGCCGGGCACGGGGTGGGGAAGGGGGAAGTTTCTTAAGCACTGGACAATAGTATCAATAACGAGCTCTAACTGAACACTTTGTCTGTGTCAGGTCCCAGGAGATGATTCTACTGAATGCCCCAAACAGCCTGATTCTCTAGGGAACCCTGGGTCTCAGGAGCATCCCCCTTTTATGGAGGAGGAGGAGGTGCGGACACTATGTGGCTCATTCAAGGCGGGAAGCCTCCCTTTCTGCAGCTGTAAAATAAAGATCATGATTGTTTCTCCCTGTTCGTCGGGACTCTTTCTAGTTGAAAGTGACTGAAACCTAAATCTAGCCCAAGCCAAACCAAGGAAGCTCCTGTTCCAGGGGCACGGTGTGTGAGGCCTCTCAGCTTCCATCCCTTGCTTGGGGCTCCCGGGGCTTCCTCCAGGACAGCAGTGGCAGCCAATGGAGCTCCAGCCTCACCTGCTCTCTGGCATCTGTGACCTCAGAAGCCAGGAGACGTCCTGTCTCTGAGGGACCACAGTCATCCCTGGGACTCTAACTGTGGTGGGAGAAGGGGGCATGTTTAACGGCCCCACCAGTTGCGGAAGGGGCAGTAGCCAAAAAAATTAAAAAATGAAAAATAAAAAATTTGGGGGCTGCTCAAAACTAACAAACGTTTGCTAACTTGTTTCATTTGCTTGAACAAACATTGGTGGGGAACCTCTTATGTGCCATGTGTTGGGGAGCAGAGATTCCCCATGCTGCACAAACCCCATGTGGAGGGCACTCTATCAAGGTACCATTCCTGGCCTCTCCAGCAGATCAGCCTCCCCTCCCCAGGGAAGCACACACTGACAGGGGCGGGTGCAGCCTCTTCGGGCAACTCTGCATCTGTCCAGGACTGCTCTTGACCAAGTAGATGAGTCAGACTCTAGGATTCCCTACTATGAAGGCAAGTTACTTATCAATATGAACCATGTTCTGCAGAGTCAATGTGCGCTGGGAGAAACACGATTTTGATCGCTAGAGGCCTGGGCAGTGTGTTTGTCTCTCTTAATTGCTTCTAAACTCAGGTAGGAGCAGGGGTCATCTACTGATCTCCCCAAACCTCAACAGTGGGCATTGGGGATACTGTAGTGAACCAGGGGGGCGACCCCATGGTCTAGCTCAGTATGACTCAAGCTCTGCTGGGAAGGACCAGGCCTGTATATTCACAAAGTCCTGCAACCATCCCCAGTGTCCAATTCCAAAACACTTCCTTTACCCCAAAATGAAACTCCACACCCCCAGTCACTCCCCATTCCCTCCTCCACCAGTCCCCCCCTTCCCAGCAACCACTAATCTACTTTCTGTCTCTGTGCATTTTTCTGTTCTAGACAACTCACATGAGGGGGTCGTGCAATACTTGGCCTTTTCTGTCTGGTTGCTTTCACTCAACGTGTTTTTAAGGTCCACCCATGTGATAGCATGCATCAACACTTCATTCCTTTCTATGGCCAAATAATATCCCATAGTTTGGATATACTACATTTTGTTTATCCATGGACATTTGGGTCGTTTTTAGATTTGGGTAGTTATGAATGATGCTTCTGTTAGCACTTGTGTACACATTGTGTGGACCTGTGTTTCAGTGTTCTTGGGCATATATGTAGAAGTGGATGTGCTGGGTCATACAGTGACTCTATGTTTAACTTCTTGATGAATCACCAAACTGTTTTTCAAGGTAGTGGAGCCATTTTACATTCCTTCCACTGACGTGTGAGGGTTCCAATTTCTCCAGCTCCTCTCCAACACTTGTTATTGTACATCTTTTGTTTTTTTTTTAAGATTTATTTATTTATTTGAGAGAGCGAGTGCACACACACGTGAGTTAGAGGGAGGGGCAGAGGGAAAGGGGGAGGGAGAGAGAATCCCCAGCAGACTCCCCGTTGAGTGTGGAGACGCAGGGTTCCGTCTCACGACCCTGAGATCGTGACCTGAGTCAAAAGCAAGAGTCGGATGCTTAATCGACTGAGCCACCCAGGTGCCTGTATATTTTTTTTATTACAACCATCCTCGTGGGTGGCCTTGGTTCTTGTTACTATACATGGTGTGGTGGACAACTCCTGATATAGCATTTTAGTCTCACCTTGATCCTCTCCTCCAAAAACACCTCCCCTCAGTGTTTTGAGGCCAGCTCAAATTCTCTCTCCTTAGCCACTCCAGCCCTCCTGGATTTTGTTTTTCATCACCTCTTCCTAGAGAACTTGAAAGGACACACCACACATTTGTGTTAAAGATTTGATTCTGTTGTTGCTGTTCTACAGTTCTGGGATAATCTCCCCCACCTGTGCTTGCCCCTGCACTGGCCAAATACTGCTTCTCTCATCCCCAGCTTCTCCTGTGCCTCAGACACTCGAATCCTCTCTCCCCATGTGGGTCCTCTTCTTCGCCCCAACCACAATAACATTTGGCACTTCGTGTCACAGTGCTTTTTCTGCCCCCTCTACTGGAATGTAAATTCATTAAAAGCAGGGATTGGAATTATGTCTTGATCATATCTGCATCCTAGAATATAGCACAAAAGTTAACACTCAGTAGAAATTGATAGTGAATAAATGTTTTTTTTGGAGGAGGAAAGGAAGGAAAGAACTTTCTGGTTGGCTTGTTAGTATACTGTACTGTTTTTCCAGCTAGACTGTAGACCCTTCTGGGTTACGAATGACATCTTTCTGTCCTGTGGATTTTTCAGTTCCATCTAGTGCATCACAGTGCCTGCCATATCCTTGGCTTCTTCCTGTCGCCCTTCCCAGGGATGGGACCTAAACTTGCTCCATAAGCTGTCATGGCCAATGTCACATATGGAGCATGACATAAACATGCCCTTCCAGCCACAGTTGATTTCGTACTTAAGCCAGAGGCAACCACGTGCTGAGATGGGCCCTGGAGAGCCTGGCTGTGTGCCAGACGATTTGGAGCAATTCTGTATTTCAAATGGAAAGGTGACAAATTAACCCAATAAAATGCTTGCTCTTGAAGAATACACATGGCAGGTGAACAAAGATCAAGCAAACCACCTGAGCCTGAAATTTCAATCCCAAATGGTGCTGAATTAGTAAAAAAAATATTAGCAGTCAACACTTATGACGTGCTAGCTTGCTGAGCACTTTATATTTGTGATGATATATCCTCACACTTCTCATTTAAGGGACAGATGATTAGGGAGGTTGAAAATCTAACCCATGGAGTCCCGAATTCCTTGCCTCACTGGAGCTCTGGGAATTTTGGTACATGCCCCATGCTTAGATGGGTAGCTTGCCTCCCAGTCCTAAACATCCTGGCTGTGAGCCTTTGTCCCCTAAAGGGGACCTGTGGTCCATGAACCTATCCAATCTGAGGCTCTGCCTAAGGACAGACTCACATGTGGGTGGACTGGGCAGTTCCTCACCAGGTCTTAATATGAGGGCCCTTGGGGATGTGGGGTTGTGTACAAAGTATTTTTCCACCAGCCTGTCACAAATGCTTGTTTTTGCTATTAAGATTGTATTTCTTTGATTTAAGCATGTAGGAGCACAAAGCTCAGTACTTTGAGGGCATCTTAGAGTTTTGGCCTCATACAACTTCACTCCCTCTCCTTTTCTACCCCCATTTCAAGGCAGGGATTCCCCCTCAAATTCTCTCTTTCCACTGCCCATTTCCTCACTCTTGGGTCTCTGAATAGAGAAAATAATTTTCTGCTCTGTAGTACGATTTGATTTGGGAATCACAATCTAATCCAGAAGTCCACCAAGTGTGTGAAAACTGCTTCTCATAGCAGAGATCTTCCATTTCTGTTCTAACATCACGGAAAGATGAAAAGAGCACCAATTTCAGTGATCTCCATTAACTGCAAACACCCCTAGGAAGGGTAACACATCAAAATGCTGTCACTCAAGTACAAACGTGTTCATCAGGTCCTTTCCAGAAGATGCTTACCCAAGAGTATGAGTTCATTGTGAACTGGGGGTAAGAGACACAGTAGGAAAGTTAGTGTTTGGGGAGAGCCTAAAATCATGCACCACTGAGTATGGTTGTGATATGGTAATTGAGTCTGGGTCCTACCCTGTGGGGACTGTGGGAAAGCCACGGTGGAAGAAAAAGAAGTGTGGAGGGGGAGTTAGAAGGCTCAGGATTGGGGGCGGAGATCAAGGGGGAACTTTCTTGTGTCAGAACCAGGGCCAGGTGCAAAGGAGGCTGTTCTACCGCGCTCCTCTGGAGATCTGTGGCCTCTCCCCTTTCCACCCACGGGCTCATCTTTGTTTCTGTGATGGGAAGGACAGATGGGTGGGAAGACATGAAGGAAATAACTGAGACCAGCAACACCCACAGTAGCAAAACAAGCTGTAACTCACAAATTGCCTTTAAATAGTCTGAGGAGTGCTTCCAGGCCAATGTAGATCATTGTAGAGCTGCTGACGGGCCACATACAAACCATTTTTCAAATACATCTGGGGCTCGTTTCTCTGTTATGTGCCTTTTGAGTGATATTTGGGGTAATCCTCTTGAAGGCTGTGCATAATGTGAAAAACTGATGCCAGCTGGGGTGAAATTGAATCGAAGCAAGGACTCTGCCAAGTCAGCAACTGAAATAGCCTCCCTCCCTCCCTTCCTCCTTCCTTTGAGAAGATCAATAAAATTTAAGAATCTCTAGACAGATTGGGGTCAAAAAGAGAGACAACACAAATCACCAATATCAAGATTGAGAATCCAGCATTACAGATTACAATGGTTCTCTACTGGGGGTTATTCAACCCCCTCCCACCCTGAGGATATTCGGCAATGTCTGGAGACAGTTTTGATTATCACAGTTGGGGAGCTGGGGAGATGCTCCTGGCATGCAGTGGGTAGAGACCAGAGATGTTGCTAAACATCCCACAATGCACAGAACATGCCCCCTCAACAGACTTATCCACTCCGAAATAGCACTACTTTCCTAGTGAGAAGCCCTACATTAAAAGGATAATAAGAGAATATTGTATATAACTTAATGTTAGTAAATTCAACAACTTAGTTGAAATGGACAAATTCTTGGAAAGACACAGACCACAAAAGCTCACTCATAAGAGATCGATAACCTGGATAGCCTGATAGTTACTAAACAATTGCACTTGTAATTAAAATCTTCCCACAAAGAGGGGCACTGGTGTGGCTCAGTTGGTTAAGCGTCTGCCTTTGGCTCAGGTCATGATCTCAGGGTCCTGGGATCTAGTTCCTCATCGGGCTCCCTGCTCAACAGGGAGTCAGTTTCTTCCTCTCCCTCTGCCCCTCCTCCCTACTCAT